GGTACATGAATAAAACTAAAAATAATAAGTAAGTTAATAATAAATAAGTTAACGGTCATACTTTTTTTCTTCAAACCGTGAAGTTTCTCTCGTCGGCTTTCGAGTGAATCGATAAGGAAAGAATGTGTGTAACTGAAGTTAAGTACATACAAGCTACGCAAAAAGTACAATCGCAACAATGGAAATACTTAGAGACGCAAAGACACTTAGAGACGCATTTGAAAGACACTTATGCGAAGTGTTTTTTTTTTACTCTTATGTGGCAACGCTTTTTCTGCGTATTATTTTTTGTTTCGTAATTCGCTCTTAAGATCTCTCTCCATCTACAAAATCTCTTTTACCTTGGCCGTTATGTAACGCGAAGTTCCCACCTGGTGCCGCTTTGATTCAAAATTGATCCTGTTTCCCCTCTCTTTTGTTCCGCGCTTTTCCCAGAGAAATACTATGAATTCTTGTTCCAATAAAAACGCGTTAGGTTTCGAATTCAAGTTATCGCAGCAATTTTCAAAGAATAACAATATATTTATTTCAGGATGTATTTTTGAAAGCCCTTTGTAAATCAATTAAACTTATCAACGAGCATGTTGAAATATTCGTTTAACACCGGTTTATTTTATTATCCACTTTAGATATGGCGTTTTTATTCGATAAAACGGCAAACACACTTAAAAAAAAAAAAAAAAAAACGAGCTTGATACAGTTTATCACTTTTGAATTTCTATTGATATTCTCTCATCTTCCAATTTCCGCGTCGACAAATTTTTATCGTTAACGTTCCGTTTACGTCACGTGCGAGAAAAAATGAAAAATCGATAATATTTCAATATTGATCGTTGTTTAAAGATAAACGTTGCACATGTTGCGTGCGCCAGTTTGTGACATAATCGATATACCGAGCACGCGAGCATTCTTATACGAAGTTATCGTAGAATAAATGTTTAGTTATTGGCAATTTTGTTTGCGGAAACACTTACCGCGTAAAGCTACTCCTACTGAGTATCAAATTGACACAGCTGATCGCGTTAATTTTATCGGTCGCGCACACGTCTCTCGTGGAAAAAAAAAGTTTTGACTTTAGAGTTTTTGTAAAAATATGTACTTGCATTTGATTAATTGATGAACGTGAAGGAATATCGTGGAACACTTAAATCGATATGTATAAAGTGTCAAATATTCTTTCTGGGAGTGATATAAAAATATTGGCGGAATCTGACATAAATGTATTTTTATTGCACGTTTTGCGAACAGTCGTGAACATTCGCAGTCGAGGTTGCCTCGCAGAATCGCTGAATTTCATGTAATGTCATAGTTTATTATTAAATTCATCGCAAAACAATTTCAATCTATTACTAATCGATTATTTGTGTTCGATCTGAAACTCGCGAAACCGAAGACGTCTCAATCTGTTCGCTCGCGAGTGTATATAAATAAATAGTTCAATATCAACGATGTAACATGATTCGTGGAACATACAGCACGTGTATCTCTGATTTTAGCAGTAAAGAAGCAGACACCATGCCAGTTCCTCAGCTCCAGAAGAAGGCTCCAGCTTTCGCCGGCACTGCTGTCGTTAACGGACAATTTAAGGAAATAAAACTTTCGGACTTCGCTGGCAAATATGTCGTGTTGTTCTTCTACCCGTTGGATTTGTAAGCACGTTTACTCTTTTTAGATATAAGAAATTTTTTAAAGACTCAAGATTGCAAGTAAATATTACGAATGTACGTAAAATAACCGAATCCTGATTTTGTCATTATTGATGACAATCAGTGAGCTCTAAATAACACACACACTTTGTGTGTAGCACTTTTGTCTGCCCGACCGAGATCATCGCTTTCTCTGATCGCGCTAAGGAATTTAAGGACATCGGCTGTCACGTGATCGCCGCGTCCACCGATTCCCACTTCAGCCACCTCGCGTGGGTGAACACTCCTCGCAAGCAGGGTGGACTTGGCGAGATGAACATTCCCCTGCTGGCGGACAAAAGCGCCAAAATTGCCCGCGATTACGGAGTGCTCGACGAGGAGACCGGCATTCCGTTCCGCGGCCTTTTCATCATCGACGACAAGCAGAATCTACGTCAGGTCACCATCAACGATCTGCCTGTGGGAAGGTGAGACTTTCGCTCGATAACAAAATTTGTCGAAGTTAAAATTGAATTTCGTCGCAAACATTAATCGCTGTTTGTAGATCCGTGGACGAAACGCTGCGCTTGGTTCAGGCATTCCAGTACACCGACAAACACGGCGAAGTTTGCCCGGCCGGTTGGAAACCGGGCAAGAAGACCATGAAACCCGACGTCGAGGGTTCGAAGGAATACTTCAAGGATCAATAAGATAAAATCGTAAAAACATATCCTTGTATGTGTCCTATTAAAAGATATTTACTGTGTGTTTTTGTACTCTTTTCGATGCAGAATCTTCCACTTCGATACATATGCTTTTCTTAGACAAGTATACGTATTTGCAACGTACTGAAATATGTTTGTCCTAAGTTTAATAAACAAATTTATTTTATACGTCTTGTTTTCTTGCATCATTTCGTCTAGCACACAAACTTGTGAATCATTGATACCGAAAGTGCACACACGTAATGATAAGTGTCGGTTGCGATAACGAAGTGTATCGATGCGTGATCGGAAACAGCTGAGACAAGTGGCAAAAAACTCGATAGTCGAGACGATATTGTTTGTACGAAGTTCAAGATTGTCATAAGTGTCATTGCTTTCTTCAAAAGTGTTTTAACAGTAGTAGATACGTCGGTACTTTTCTTAATCTGCGATATCTGATAATTCGGTACAAAAAATTTCAATGATCGTTGCTCGAGCACACGAGGTGCGGATCAATTCTATTTCGTAGAACAGCGTGATCGCATTTGATACTTAAAATCTCGCTTCCTCGCTGAAATCTTGCGATAAGATCGTCACGTTTCATGAGTAACGATTGTGAGAACGTGATAGCGGAAGCAGGTAGAAAGAAAAATTACTCACCGCGAAATTACTGTTCGTGACTTTTGTTTTCAATTTTCTGAGAAAAAACTACGAGTGGTTGACGTGTTTAATAATGTTTAATGCGCAGGATGGGGCTTCTGGCATTACTTTCTCATCGTTTTGTGCGGTTTGATATCGTTCGCAGAAGCAAGCACTTCTCTGACAGTTCCGATCGTGTTACCGCTGATAGAATGCGATTTCAAACTCAACAGAGACCAAATCGCTTTGCCCGTCGCTGTTTACAGTTTGGGTAAAAATTAAATTACATAACACGAGAGTTTTTAACAATTAAAAAAACATTCTATTCGCGAGCGAGTAATGTCATTTGTTATATAGGAATGGCAATAGGAGCTTTCCTGTTCGGAATTATATCAGACGCTGTCGGCCGTAAGACCTTAATGCCAATTACAATGTGCATCGTATTTTATACCTCGATTTGCCTGTCTTTCGCGCAAACTAAGTTTCTGATAAACTTGTCGATCTTCGTGCTGGGACTAGGGTAAGTTTCTGTCACAGCACGCATTTAAAGAAAATCAACGATGTAATATGATGAACTTTTGGCCACGGCGAATATAAAATTAAATCGACAAACTAAACTGCATTTATATGTTAAAAAACTATTAAGTTATCTTTTAACTTGCTTTGCGCGCTTTTTTTTATCGAGAAATTAATATATTTCGCTTACGTGTGCAATAGTCCGGAAAATTGCAAAAGATCTACATACAAATTAACGCGTTGGCGTTGTTACATAACGTTCTAAATGTGCGCGATCATTTCAATTCGCGCGTAGATAATTATTCATCACCATTCGCCGTTTAATTAACGTGTGCAGAACGGCCGGTAACAACATTGTTTTAAGAGTGTATCTGATCGAGTCTTTGCCGACGAAAAGGAGAGGAACTGGTTTAGCGATAATCGATATGTTCTGGATGGTCGGCTACTTGCTCGCTTTAGGTAATCAAGTGATCCTACAAGTTTCGTCATCAATCGTTCATTTAATGAAATCATCACAACAGTTACTATTTTTTTTTTTTTTAAATTAATTTCAAAAAGTTATTTAATAACAAACTTTAATGTTTACATCATTCACGAGAATTCTATTTGCTGTGTAAACAAAAGTTAATTGCTATCTTTGTAAAAAGATATACGTAAATTCAAAGTAAAGGAAAATTTGTTTCTATATTTGATGTTTATATTTCACAAAAAGGTTTTTCCTGGTCTCTGATGCCGTCCGCCGTGCGCTCGATAGGCAAGCGAACCCTGCGACCAAGTTCCTGGCGAGTCCTCGCCGCTATTTGCGGCGCGCCGAGTCTGATGATCGCCTGCGTTTCAGGACTCCTGCCGCCGAGTCCTCGATACTTATTGTATCGTCGACGGCTGAGACAAGCGCTTCAGGTTCTGCGACAGATGTACGCCATCAATAATTCAAAACATATCGATAGCTACCCGGTACGGCAATTCAAAGCAAGAAGAGATTTTCTCTTTTCTCTCTCTTCACAGCTAAATAAAAAAAATATTTATTTATTTATACATTCTACCTAGAGACTAGTTTGTAAAATTACTTTAAAAATTATTTTATCCATTTGTTTATATAAGTTTTTCGCCGCGATGTGTTAGTTTTGCTTTTTAACGGCAGTTTCTGAAATTTTCTTTTTCTTTTTTTTTTTTTTTTTAATTCGCAACTTAGATCAAGCACTTCAGAGACTTGGAAAACTGCGTGCGTCCGGAGCAAAACGAAACCGAGGACGTTGAAAAAACATTCGCGAACATTTGGAACAGAATCCGCCGATTATGCACGCCTCCGTACAGTCGGACTACGCTGTGCGGAATGTTGGCGTGTCTCCTGCATTTTCCCGGGTAATAAAGGAAGTTCCTCCGTAAGCTTTTTCGGTATTTCCCCTCCCCCTCCCCCCGTGTTTTCGAAGAGAATCACGAAAACAATGTTTAAGATTCATTTGGCTCGCCTTGTGGAACACGCACGTGCTTCAGGAGCTGGAAAAAAGTGATGACGTCGGGAACGGAAACGGCACGTGCAACGTCAACGTTCAGAGTGTGGTTCTGGGCTTCTTGCGAAGCTGCGACGAGATAAATGAGACTCGTTTCGAGCTCGCCATGCTGATATCGCTCGGCTACGTTGCCGGAGAGATGTTGCTCATCGTCGGAATCGATATTCTCGGCAGGAAACCGTTTTTAAGTAAGCAGCGTGTGTAATCGACTCGCTTAAAGATCGCTGTCGAGATTGTTTTTCTCGAGAAATACGCGCTTATATAAAATTCAATCGTACTGCGCGCGAAAATGTGAAAAGAGTCTTTTTCACGATTTCAGTATCCTCGGCACTGGCGGGCGGCGCGGCCTCGCTCGCGCTTGTTTTTCGAACGCGTCGCATAATTCGCGCGGTCCTCTCGTCGATTTTTCTGGCGGCTTACGCGATCGGACGCACAACGACGTGCGCTCTGCTGCTGGAGAATTATCCCACCGCTCTGAGGTAGGTCGCGCGAAACGGTCGTGGTCAGCGCACACGTCCCGCTAATCTTAGATCATCAGACGCATTTTCAGGAAATCAAATATTTGTGTGGACGCGCCGAATAAAACTCTTTCTCTCTCTCTCTCTCTTTTTTTCTCGTTGGCTTCTGCCACTGTTTCCAGAGGCACGATGATGGGTCTGACAAAAATACTTCCCCATTTGGCGGTCTTCGCGACGCAGCTCGTCCTGAGGACGTCGTGTCTGCTCAGCATAATAGTCGCATCCACTATTTTGATAGGTAGAAGAGAAAGGAATGTTTTTACATTTTTTAAATATATGTTATATCTATTGTCATAAATCACCTCGTCTCGCAGGTGCGGCCTTCGTGATGCTGCCAGTGCCCGATTTAACTAAGTTACCGATGAAGGAGTGATTTACATTTTCAAATATGACGTCTGCGTGCGACTGTTTAAACGTACGTGTGTGCGTGTCCACGATAATTTAGTCTTTCTGCGAATAAAGTGTATTTTTCTTAAACATAATCTCAAACGCACCCCTCTCTTGTTGTCTCGCCAACATTGCTCTGACAACTTGTCAAGTATGTGTTTTTTTTTAAGAATTCATTTAGAAAACAAAGTTAATTTAATATCTTCCAAACTGTTTCGTCTAATGTGCAGAAATGGCTTTTTTTAATCTTTACTTGAAGAATTCGACGCGGATTAAAAAAGACTTTGTAGAATTTCTTAATAAAAATACATCAACTTTATTTTATTCCTCTAACAAATTCCTCTCGATTGCAAAGTAGCGCATATAACTCGCGTAGGCGAGCTATTTCAGTTATGACTTTGCATATATATATATATATATATATGTATATATATTTTCAGACGCATCTTATGAATGATGAACCCGCTTTCATTCTTGCATTCGGATCTTTAATCGCGCGACGCGTGCACTTCGCAATCTATGTAAATTTTTCGCTCGCGCGCACGCTTGATGCGAGGTTTTTCGCGCGGGACTATCGGAAAATATCGGCGAAAGTAGCACGGCGAGAGGCAGATCTTTATGATCCGTAGCGCGTTATTTCACGGCGCTTATAAATAAGGGCCGAACGGACGCGTCTTCCCGCCGCCTTCCCGTCTATTTTCGACGGGAACAGGAAGAACGCTCTGCTCGCTCGCTCGTTCGCACGCGCATGCCCGCCTACTCCGACGCCGAGACTCTCGGCGTCGCGACGCCTTTGCAACAGCATGTATGTGCGTACACACACACACAGACACACGCGCGCGCCGTTCGCATTCGTCGTTAAATACGAACGGCGAATGCTCGTCACCGAAAATAATCGCGCGCTATCGCCGAAGTCTCGAAACGCGCGGCGTCCGAGACGAGCTTCTCGCTCTCTCGGCGAAGAGGCGACCTCGCGGGGTCGCGGATTCTCGTCGCTTTCGCAAGCTGTCGCGAGGATAAATCGCGATATCGCGCGAGAGAAGTTTACTCCGTTATTGAATTAAATAAACGATCAAGTGTCAACAATTAAAAAGTCTCGCGAATATCATAAACTGAACATCGCTTTGTTCGTTAAATCAGTTCTCGAGTAATGTTCTTGGTGTTCGTCGTCGATGAATACACAGTGGGAAATGGTCAGATTCGTGAACGAGATACGCAATTGTAAGTGAGAAAATTTTTGTAGTAAGAAGTGAGAATACGATAATTTTTGAGATATTGAGCATTTTTTTCATGTATGAGGATTGGATGGGACAACCTTCGGACAACAAAGACGTTAAGCGTCATTCGATCGGGTGAAGAGAAAAAAACTAAACAGTCGTATGAAGAGTATAAATAAACTGCGATCGAGAGAGAGTGAGAAAGAGAGAGAGAGAGAGAGAGAGAGAAGAGATTTCTGTTGTCTCGTAAATGAATGAAGAAGGTCATCAGCATTTCTTTGTGCTCTTTCGGTGTTACCTCTCGCAACGAGGAGCGAAAGTGCGTTCGAGAAGAAACTCGTTGCACACGGATATGCATTACGGCACGTTCGCCTCCCATAACATTTATGCGATCAAGTGTTTACGAGGCGAATCAACACTTCTCTTGTGCCATCAATTTATAGATCGCATTCGCATTTGCCGAACCGTGCAAAAACAAATCTAACAAAGAACAGTTATTACGGAACAGACATATCCGGATGAAGATATTCGAATCTTCGCGTAAACCTCCGCCCGCCTTTTGCGTAAACTGGAGTAAACAAGATTTTAATAGCGGCGTAAAAGAATATACGTGTGTGTGTGTATGGGCGTGTGTAACAAAAGTTTTTAATAACAAAAATAAGCTTTGCGTGCGTAAACTAACAAAAACATAAACAAGCAAACAATTGTTAATCGCCGAACCGGGATTATCTTTCTGTCTCGCTCGGAAAACTGTACAAAGTGTACGAGAAAAGAAAATACGAAATACAAAAATAGACCGGGGAATACTTAAGAAATAAAAATATCCAATTCTCGCAGAATCTTTGGTACGAATCCAAGTTATCCGCGTTTATGAATATCGTAACCGCATTACGACGTTGTAACAAATGTCAACTTGAAAGAGATGACAACACATTGCTGTTCCCTCGTGATTGTCATCCATCGTTGTTAAATATCGCTCGTTACGTGCCGCGAAACGTTTAGATCACTCGCGCTCTATCTCGTCTCTCGCGATCCATCCAATGGCGGAGGACAATGCCCGACCGGCCGAGGAATCCGGCGCGCTCGACGTCGAGAGAAAACTCGACAAGTCGAGTCGCGCGCGAGATCAAAGGGGCGCCCTCAGGGTCAAGGACAGATCCGAGGAGGGTCGACTTCCGACCCCGCCTCCGGATCCACAGTGCTCGACGATCCCGCGGGATCGTTCGGGAGTGACGTCTCGCGGCCCCGATGACGAAGAAGAGGATCTCGTTACTTACCTGAGCGAGCTCGGCACGTCTCCGTTCGAGGGTCACACGTTCGACTACGACACCACCCCGAATTCGACCACCTCGGCGATGGGAGTGGACACGGCACCGTTCACCGAGGAGGCGTTCGAACACCTGGATCGGCTATGCGCGCTCACGGAACAGATACTGGAGCTACGCGATCGCAGCTCCAGAATGTTTCGTCGCGTGCGCGGTTTGGAACGCACGAAAGCGCAGCGGAACGCCGATTGGCGACTGGAAATTGCCCTGGCGAACGACGAGGACCCGCTTAACGATTTCGCCGACGAGGATACGGGTTTCGCGGAGTCGTTGCTGGACGCGATGCTGTCGAACTGCCGGGACGCCGGATCGACGCCGAGGAGAAGCGAACGATCGAGCGTGCGATTACCGAGACAGCGCAGCCGATCGCTCGCGCTGACCGAGCAGAATTTCGGATTGAATCTCGTCGAGCGGCCGAGCGATGCGGACAAGCGGATCGCGGGAAACGCGAGTCGCAACGGCGGGCCAAAAATCAGCAAGTGGACCAGAGTAAAGGCGGCCTTCAAATGGGAGCGCGCGTGCACGAACGATCTCGCGGACATCGTGGAATCTGTCGTCGCTACATCCACGTCGACAACGAAATATCTGAAAATTCCGGATACAACTGGCACGTCGCACGGAAGCTGGAGCACCGGATCGGCGATGTCGCCGTGCACCAGCGAGATCTCCAGCCCGTCCACCCCGATCGGTCGAGTTTCGCCCGCGTTGTCGTTGAACGACGAGGTGTTCGACGGTAAGAGAGATAATAGTAAGAGAGACGGAGAGAGAGATAATTGCAATTATCTTTGTCCATAGATTCTCGCAAAACTATCGTAAACCATGCGGACCGACAACCGCCATCGGCGAAAGACGAGAAGAAGAAAGACGACTCGGATCGATGCGGACGATTGTTCGATCACGATGCCATTGTCGAGGGAACAAATTCTATGGAATCCTCCAATGAGGTAACGTTTTATTCGGTTCTTAAAACAAGTATATATATATATATATCTCCGTCTCGGATTGTTTTTTCTATTCACATAAACAATATTCCACAAAGTCATACGGTTTGTTTTAAACATTATACAACTTACCTCCCATTTTAATTTTTGTTTTTTGTCACGGCGTGTTTGGTATTATTTTTCTGTCCCAATAATTCGTCATCGGAGTTGTCTAGACTTCGCGCTATAAGGGCGGCGCCGATAAAGAACGCGTCGCAAAATTCCTTTTCCGCAACACAAGTGGCGGTGTACAAGTGCCGACTTAAAAATAACTCCGGCTACACGCGCGTGCCGCGCACGACCGCGCCCGTCGAATTTCTTTGATCAACGCATCGCTGGTGTATCCATTAACAAACGCCGTTCCAGTCTGACTACTGCGAGTAAAATCTCTCGCAGACATCTGCGATGTCTAAAATTGCTCTCATAGAATATTTGTTAATTCTCAAGATGTTACTTTGGTTTTTTTTTTTTTTTTACTATTAGGACAACACAGACGCGCGCTACGCGCACTCTGTTATTATTTTTGTTTTAACGTGTTGTGTCAGTGAAGAAAATCTGTCACCGCGACGACAGGTAGTATATACGTCTAACAAACCGTATAATACACATATGAGAGATGTCAGAAATAACGCATAAAACTCAGACTCGAACAATAGTGAGAGGGAAGAGTAGACAAATAACACGTGATTAGAGTGACGTTACTTTTCTTTAGTCACGTGTCTTTAAAAACGTGACTGAAGTAAGGTCACGTAACGGAGAAAAGAGCAAAAAAGAGATTATTATATATATTATATATAATATTCTATATCTGTATATAATATATATAATAGAAACATATATTATACCTTTCGCTAAAGGTCATTGACCTTACGCTAAAAGTCATTGACCTTTTTGGTAGAGGTCATTGACCTTACGTTAAAGGTCATTGACCTTACGTTAAAGGTCATTGACCTTTTGTTAAAGGTCGGATACTTCGACATTACTCGTAATTTTTAACCAATAAGTAATGTTGCCTAATTCGACATTAATTATAATTGTTTCCTTGCCAAAGGAAAGTTATGACATCGTCGGATAATACGACAAGAATTACAACTTTGGCCGGGCAAAAATTATAATTAATGTCGGATTATGCGTTTGTTATATATATAATTTTTACTCTTTTCTCTGTCACGTGACCTTACGTTAGTCACGTTTTTAAAGTGTGCAATCACGTTATATATATATACTTTGGTCACGTAGTGTTTTTTCTTTTCTCCCTGTCACGTGACTTTAAAAAACGCAAGAATACTTTTGTTTTTTAATGAGTCAGTTTGCTTTTTGTTCTGAAGCGTTTGAGCTTTACGTCCTAAAACGGAAGTAATTCAGTCGTTCTTGAGATATTGCTCCATAAAAATCTCCTCATTCGCATGAATATTTCGCGTATAAGAGGCACTACCGCGCGTCTTGATACGTACTCACATGAATCGAGAAACACATCCTAGAAACGTCCAATCAGCGTCGAGATAAAAGTGGCAACAATCAATATCGAGAGAATTGATTGTGATTATTTACACACGCTTTTTCTGGTAGAAAAAAAAAAAGAGAAGATGCGCAAATATTTGTGATAGTTATTATGAGTAATATAAAGGAAAAAATACTGTATTTTGTCTTTTTCTTTAACAAAAGAACATCCGTTCTCTTTCTCTCCCAATTATAGACAAGTCGCGGAAAACCGTTGATTCGCATCATATCGGACGCGGATACGCCGACGAGTAACGCGAACAAAGGCGGTAAAGATCCAGACGTATCTTCGAAGAGACCGACGCCCACCCTGACCATTACGATACCGTCGAACGAGGAGGAGATCAGAAATTTCTCCTCTCCGGAATCGACGTCTCCTCTTCCGTCGAGCGCTCAGGATTCCGGCGGAAGTTCGCCGCAGCGGCCCAAACCGCGTCAAGATGTTCCGAGTCTGAAAGAGTTCAAGCGACAGGTTGGGACAAACAATCTCATGTTTATATATCGTCAATTTATTAAATATTTGTGTCTGTATTTTTAATTTCGTAAATCTTTAAATTCAGATTTTTTTTTATTACGTTGAAGAAACTGTACTTTCGCAAAATGTGGATATTTGACCAGAAATATATTTAAAAATTAAATTTACATTAGCGAAAAAAATTACACATGTGTCTTCTCAACGTGTTTTTCAAAACGTACTATCTCGAATGTGAAATTATTTTTACCGGCTTTGGTTCACCGAGAGACTTGTAGAATGCGAATGTTCGATTTCAGTATTCGACGATCGAGGAAGCGGTAACACTGGAGCCAAAGATACAGCGGCAAGATTCGAAATGGAACAAGGTCAGACGCGCGTTTCTGACAAACGCCACCTTCAGCGTTCCCCCGAGTCCGGTCAGAACAATCGCCGCGCAATCGTTTCCAAACGATGGTGAGAAGAATCTTCTTCGACGAAAGCTTTTCTAGAGCGCATATCGCATACCATGCTCTAACATCGCGTCTATCGAAAATGTCAACCGCATGTCAAATTTATAACGCAAAGGAAACCTTGTTTAACAAAATACCTACCTATCAAATTGAAAAACTTCTCTTGCCATTTTTCACATCGAATCGCCGCTCTCGCCTCGCAATTTCGCGTCTCTTCCCTCGCATCCTTCGCATAAATCTTTTTATACTCCGCGTACACAGATCCAGTTACAAAGGCTCACGAAGATAAACAGCACTTTTCTTTTCTTTTTTTTTGATACATTTTTGTTTCCCCGAGTTCAAATAAATCTAGTAAACGAGAGAGATTGTTTGATTGTTCGCGCGCGCACAATTAGGAAATTAATCGCCTCTCGGTCGGATCTTCGCGAGATCTTACATTTGCTTTTCCAAGCAGTTGTTGGATTGTGTGCACTTTTTTTTATCGCTACTCGCTAATCTTCGCTCGATTTTTTTAACCAAACGATACATTTTTCCATGTACTTCAACAACTCGGCCACCTTCTTGCGATTCAGTTCCAACGTTTCTTGCATCGTCGTCTCGTGCGCCTTCGTAAACGCGTCGCGATACTTTCCGATGCGTTCGAGATTGATACGCGTCTCTTCGTTCGTGCGATCGATCGTCTTCGTGGCCTCGCTCAGCTGTTTTCTCACGCAATCCGTGAGCTCGGACGGAACTTTGTGTCTGCGACACGTCGCGACAGTTTCTTCCGTTTGTCTCGCGCGCGCCAAGACGTTATTTTTCAACGTTCTCAGCATGAACGTTATGCGCTTGACGTTCGGCGCGATCGCGCGTTCCAAGGCGTCGAACGATCGGCCTATTTCGTCGTTCAGCAGCAACGTTTCCTTGCGCATCCAAAATCCGTACGACACGTCCAATTTGACGACTTCGTCCAGTTTTTCGCTCGTCTGTTTGTACAGTTCTCGCAATTGAGCCGCGCGAGCGATCTCGCTGTTCTCCAAACGCGTCTTCACGTCTTTCGCGATCGATTGCGATTCGCTTTCCACGAGTTGTATTATATTCTCGATACGAAGTTCCACGGATCGTCGAGCGTTCAAATAATCGTCACTGGCCGTCGTCGTTTCGCACTGACGAAAATTGAAATTAATTAAAATGACAGCGTCCTATCTGTGCGCTTTCATCTCTCGATAGGTTCAATAATGTTAAAAAAAAAAAATGCAAAACCAAGATAAATTTAAACGGACTTGATGTACTACTTTAAACGAAGGATTAGATTGTTTCTCGGAAAGGAAGAAGAGCTTCTTGCAGAGCTGTCGAAACGACAACAGTCTTGGGCACTGTTCGCGATTTTTTTTATGTCCCTCGGGGGTTATGTTGCGGATTTTAACTTCCGATTGTCTAACGAATTTGTCATTTTCCGGAACTTCCTTGCTGAAACGACGACCGAAAGGAGATAAATTTTTCGCGACATTGTTCAGAATGTGGCGACCCACTTGCAAATTTTGCAGCAACATGTAACGTGTTTACAATTACATCATTGCTCTTCGTCAAGGAACGGGATTAAAATTCTTGTCGAGTTGACGCAACAAACAAAAGACACGTCGAATCGATTTATTAATTAAATACTTGCGAGAACAATCGATGAAGAACCTTGTACGATGTGTAAAAATAACATGCGATAATTTTCGAGATATGTTTCTCGAGAAGAACAATAACAACTCATTTCTAAACTCCCTTGCACGTTCGTTACGGCGCTTCTCGCCTCGCCCGCATAAAGTATCTTCATTGTAAACGCAGATACGCGCCGAGCTCGCAGCTGTAGCGAAAGCGTCGAGGATCTCGGTAAAACCGTTGCAGGTACCGGCAACATCAACAACAACAACAACGGCCAGGTGAAAGCGCGCGGGGACTATCAGGCGTTGCGGGAGAAATTCGGCGCCGAGTTCCATAGGAAGCTGATCGAGTGGGAACGACTGAAGAGCGCGCGAAATACTCGGGACGGCCTGACGTTAAACGAGGAGCGGCTGGCGCCCGAGTTCAAGAAGAAATTGCAGGACTGGAAAAGGGCGAAGAAGGGTCGACGGTCGAACGCCATCGAGCAGCAGCGCGTCAGTCGTCGGCGACTGACCGACTGGCAACTCTGGCGATCATCCTCTTCGTCCAAACCCGAGTCCAGATTTTACGGCGTACGTTGACTCGCGAATGTTCACGCGAACACGCAAATATACACATTTAGAAAATCTTCTGTCAATAAAAAAATATTTAAATACACATGAGTAAAATATATGAGTAAAAAAAAACAAGAACGTTTCGAGTAAAAACTTTTTCTTGCTCTTTTTGATGAACCATCTTTCGATAATCTTCCGCATGTTTTCTTTTCAACATTGTCTACATAGCAGAAAAATCAGAATTCGATCGGCTCGCGTGGGAGCTGCGCGAGCATTGGCAGCGCGGGGAGCTTCGGTAGCGATGGGAAACAGCATCTCTGCGAGGATTTCGTCAAGAAAATGGAGGCGTGGAGAAGGATGAGCGAGATCGCCTGTCGAAACAGCGAGAGATCGAAATCACCGCCGAGTCGCGTGGCGTCTGATATCGACGAGACCGAGTTTGTCGCTCTGGAAAAACTGCTGTTGCTCTTCGGACAGAAAACCAAGAAGGAGCGTCGTGAGAACGACGAAAAGCAACTGAACGATTGCTTCGATGGCGATTCGAGGTAAACTTTTAAGAGTACAAGCAATTTTATTTGTTAATCTTTTTAATAAAAACATTAATTTTATCTAGTAATTAATAAATTGTTTTGCTTTTTAATAACTTGAAGACTCACGGCCGCGTCTCGAGGCGTAAGCTGCGGCAACGAGGTACTGATTCGCACCTCCGCCGGTTCTTATCGCTTCGAGGGCATATCGCGAGAATTCACGAGAAAATTGTACGACTGGGAGAAGTATCGCGGAATATCACCGAGATCCTCCACGTTCCGTTTGCTAGGACCGGGTTACACACCGTTCGCGCGCAATTCGAACGAGGTCACATTGACGGAGTCATCGAACGCGACAGGTAAAACAAAATTTTTAAAATGTTACCGAACAACATTCATTAAATAATTTTTATCGCGTGTATATCACATCTTTGTTGTGAATTATTAGGAAAAAGTCGCGCGTTTCATTGGAGCCTGAAGAGATCCAAATCGGACGGTAGCGTTTTCGAAAGCGGCAGTCTTCGCGACGAGTCGTTCGCCCTGCGTCGTTCCACGAGTCTGCAATCTCTCTGTTCCACGGACAAACTCGAGGACGACGCAACGACGAACGTATCGCCGGCCACGAATAATTCGCAGACGGCGATCAAGGACGACGCCGCGGGGGAGATGATGATGGTGGAGGATTCGGAACCGGAAGCGATGATCGTCGATATCGAGGACGTGATCGAGGAAACTGCCAGTCCTCTGGCGGGAGTGCAACCTCATCAGACGCCCGTTTACTCGGTCGCAGCCAGCGAGACGACCAGCATCGCCGTTCCGCTCGGCACGGTCACCTCCAGTCACGAGCCCTCGCCCGTGTTTTTGGTCGACGCCGAGGAGGAAGAGGAGGAGGATTGCGAGCGAGAATGGAACGGCAGAACGTGGACGGGAAATTCGGAAACTCGTTCGAACGAGAACAGTCCGGAACGCTTTCCGATCTCCGAGGATGCGAGAACGACCACTTCGTTCGATGAGGATAAATCGAACTGGATCGATAATCGAGATCATTGGGAGGAATCGGGCGACGAAGCGAACAGGTGAAGCGAATAGTTTTTTTTTTTTTTTTTTTTTTATCGTCGTTTGATGGGAATCAAGTGACGTAAAATCGATTTCGTATGTTTTTTTTTTTTTTTTCAGAGACTCGATGGGATTCGAATCGCTCGCGCCGATCTACGAGATTAACGTGAAAACGAAAGATTACGGTAAGACGCGCATTGAAAATATAAGATCCTCACTTTTAAGTGGATTAATATATATATATCACGCGTGTTTGTTTGATTTCAAAAGACGACGAGACCGGCTCCGCGAACTTCGTGGATCATTTGGAAACTTCATCGACGTCCTGGAACGCGGAAGAATTAACGGTACATTTAAGAATAACGTTCTTCTTTTTTTTACTTTTAATTCAAATAAATGTCGCATGCAATGCCGACCACCATTGTAGCCAACTTTGTGATAATCTTCGCCAATCGAGTCAATGTTGAGGCTCAAACGTTTTGGAAGAGTAAGTTTTACGAATTGAAATTAGCGTCCTGTCGGTACAACCAGGACTCGCCGCGCACGTGTGAGGGGACGAACGAGACGAGGAAGATCGAGGAGCTGGCGAATAACGAGCGGACAAGCGACCCGGAGAATCTCCGGGACGAGGAGAACGACGAGACGGCCGAGGAGGAGAGGAAGATAATAATTCCAAGCGGAGATTCTTCCGATTGCAAATCGGCAAAAACGTCGTCGGATCGTCGCGATTTCGAGGAAACCTCGTCGAAATTATCGAATTTAGATACAGGTAAGTTTGGAACAAAAAATTTATCAACTTTTTACACAATTTTTCTCTGAGAAAGTTCTACCGCAACACGTTTTCACAAATAACGTTTCTCGATCTCGCAGACGATAACGGAGATGCGACGGAATGTCGCGACGCTGATATCGAGACTCCGGCGCGTTGCAGTTCGCCGGAATTGCAGAACGACGTCGATCGACATTACGAGATTATTATATTTAAAACAGACACGTGCGACAATACAATTGAGAATCATCGTCTGTACGAACCGATTAACTGTCGCGAGATTCACAATTCTCGCAACGACAATTACGCGAAAGGAAGCGTTAATCCGTCCAGAGCGAGATTATCGGACACGGAAAGATCGACGTTCTTTCAAACCTCGAGAAGTCTCTCGGACTCGACCGTGCGAATCACTCCGATGATCGTCTCGGGTAGCGACGAGGCGCGTTCCGTAGAGAAGATTTTGATAAACGAAGAGACGCTGAAGAAAATCATCGTTCCCACGACGAGCTCGGAGAGCGAGCTGAAAGGCGCGGAAAGAACGGGAGATTATTTTGTCGCTGGTCGTTCGGACGAAATCAACGACGATCGATCGAACGAATTCGATCGCGCGAAACCGAATCGCGACAATCAGAGCGCGTGCGTCAAGAAGGACGGATCGTCTTCGTCGAAAAATGTTTTCGTGAAGACGAAGCGTATGATTTTCGGTCCGTTCCGAAAGTCGGAAGATCGGCAGTCGTCAAGAAAAGAGAGCGACGGATCCGTCGAGGGCCAGCCCGCGCGTTCGTCCACCAAGTCGAAGAGCAAATCGAGATCGGCGTCGCCCAAACTGTGTCGACAGGACGCGCTGTTACGAGTGTCCTTGTCTCTGCCGTGGCCGCTGCGATCCGCCGCGAAGGAAAGCGACAGCCCGTCCGAGTCCAGAAGAAACTCCGAGAGCAAACCGGAAGACATGGCGATGGCGACGAAAGAGAGAAATTCGCCTTGCGAGGAGAACAAGGCGGACAATGACGGACCTCGAGATCAGCCGATAACCGGCAAAGAACCAACGTCCGTTGAGAACGCGAAGGAAAATATTCGTCGCTCGGATAAAAACTTTGTGACCGCGCCGATAAACGCGATTCCGACAACTTTCGCGCGAATTATCGAGCAACAGAATCAATCGAGACTAACGTCGCAGAATCGAGATACGAATCGAATTCACGAAAACGAGAATAGAGAACTCGGTAGAATCAGAAACAATCAAGTACATTTCTTGGACGCGAAACAAGAGAGAAAATTCAGTTACGCGGAAGTCTGTGCGAAACAGGAGGAAATCAAATGCGAGCAACAACAGGACAACGAAAACGCCTCGAAATCTGACGCGGCCGTATCGTCGGACTTGATGCACAAGCTCCGGATATTATCGGACGCCGCGGCGAGAAGAGAAGGTCGAATAACCGCGAACGTGGAAGCGTTCGCGATCACCAGCTCGGAATCGCGCTCCTCCAGGATACGACGGGCCAAGGAGAGTTTTCTGTCGCGTCGCGGAGGTCCTTTCTGCCGTTCAATGATGGAGTCGACGGAAGCGCGAGAGAATCCCTGGAAACGAACGTCAATATCGACGAGCGCTGAAACGTCGAAGTCAAGTGAAGTTGCGACTTCGAAGACCAACGAAATGGAAAAAAACGCGGGAAACCGAACGGAAGAACAAGAACCGACAAAGACCGCTCGGGACGCGTCCTCGAGCGAAGACAACGTTGATTCGCCTTCGGACAAGGACGTCGATGTGCGATCGGAATCGCTAGTGAAATCGGCGAGCGCCGGTATGATCAACGTGGATCCCGACACGTTCGATCGGCTGGTCGCGGCCGATCGCGGATGCGAATCCTTGCCGAGAATAATCGCGAAGCGCCGAGATTCGTCGGGACCGTTGGCGAAGATCGTCAGCAAGCTGAACTTCTCGCGGCTGATTCGATCCCGCAACGTCGACGGCGGAAACATGAGCACGATCTCGACGTTGTGCAGACAGAGTCTGATGATCGACACCCGAAAAAGTCTCGAGGAGCAGCCGGACGACGAGCAGGAAGCGGCGAATAGTTCCGAAGACGTGAGAAGTAAAAATAAGGATAACAACAGTCATCCGGGCGAATCGTCTAAAACCATTCGTGAATGAAAGTTCAAGCGAATATCCGAATGAAGAGTAGGTTGTGCTTTTTTCGCGAAAGTGGAGGATATTGAGTCATAGACGAGCTTTTGAATGAGAGAATTAGAAAGTAGCATTTAATTAAACGTCTAATTAACTACGTCATTTAAATATCTAAGCGGCAATAGAAAAAAAAAAAATAAAATGTTTAATTTTATAAAGAATAACTTGCGTTATACACCACATGTGAGATTGACGTTAAAGAATTGGACACCGATTGGATAGCTCAATTAATCTATTAATTAACAGAAATCTCAGCATATATTTTTAATTATCAGTAATAAGCTGTCGACAATAAGCTTCCGATAGGCTGTTAATAGATTAAAAAAAAAAAAAAAAAAATCAAAATACGATTTTTACGTTTCTAGCGATTGTTTGTAACAAAATCGTGAGATTAAAATAAAGAAGCAGATAACGCAACTCAATTTCTCATTAGCGTCAACAAAAATACGCAAAAAACAAACGCGATTTTTTTACGTCTTCGGAGGAAGTCGTGCTTTTTTTTTTTTTTTTTTTAACAATGGCCCGTGCAAACAACGTGCTCCCGCGAATGGTAAACACAATGACGACGAAACCGGCCGTGTTTGATTAAACGGGATTAATGTCCCCGGGGCGGTCTCGAGTGGCGAGGGGCGAGCGGAGCGAGAGGGCAGGCAAAGGGAAACGCGTGTCGCGAACGCGTGCCTCCCCGAAGTCGCCCCCGACTCGATTCCCTTTCAAATCCGTGTGCGTGCCCTCTCGAGCCCCCTCCTACGACCAATCAACCCCTCCGCCATGTCTCACCGCGGAGAAAGCCCTTCTCCAACGAGCGAGAGGATCGTCGCTCGATCGCATTAAGCGGATTTCATTTGGTCCCGAAATGATCGCGCAAACAAACAAAATACGCTCGGCCGGCATCAGCGCGACTCGTTTTCGACGCGCGATTATATTGTGCGCGGTGCACAACGTCGATTGACGACGAGAGAGAGACCATGGGAAGAATGTTGATCTCCGACGAGTCCTCGGTGTCCCCTGGGACATCGGGGATGCAAACTCTCGCGCTCGCGCGTTCACGTTCCGCTGAGTTTTAATTTTCTCTCATGTTTCATGTAAATAGATAAGCTTCGTATTAAAAAAAAAAAGAGAAAAACGAATAATAATTTCTAAAAAAAAAGCAATACAGCGAGTGTAATTTTTTGCAATGTAAAATAAAAATATTTACGTTACACGTTTCTTGCAACAAACTGGATAAAATACGTGTTACTGGCTGTTTTCAAGCCATTTTTGTGTCGCTGTTGCGCTCGCAAGATCTCACACAGACCCTCCAGAATTTGGGAAAATAATAGAGGATTAGGGACATTAGAGAGAGAGAAAAAAAAACCACAAGACACACCGGAGTGAAACCGAGTGGTAGTACCGGGCTCCGAACGTGTCGGAGAGGAAACGATCGCAGGTACAGGATCCTCTGTCGATTTACGATTCGAGACGCGCGAGCGCGGGATCATCGACGCGCAACACAATGGGCGGTCGTGTTGCTCGTTGCCTTCTCCAGGATCGAGCTCCAGGTTCGTCTACCTGCGTCTATAATCCGGAAGCGTTCGCGGGAGCACGCACGCACGCACGAAGAGATATTGTGTCGTGTGGGATCCGCGATTTTCTCTTTCTCTTTCTCTCTTGTCGTATATCTACGAGTACGATATAAAATATATCAAGCCGGATCCCGCTCTTTTCTTCTTAGACAATGTCGTCGATCGACTTCCGTCGGACCACCCGGACGTGAATTAGGTGTGTGTGTGTGTGTGTTTTCTCGATTTTGACAGATAAAATGTGCTTTTATTGAAGAATATAATTTATTTATTTATTTTTTTTTTTTTCAATTTGAATTCTCTATCGCTTCTCGAGACGATTCGAAGAGACGATGACGTTTCGACACAGCGCGGTCAAACAACATGTTTGCCATTACTGGATTTCTTTGCGAAATAAAAAACTATTTACCCCGGGATCTCTCGAACGAGTTCATCGAATGCGCATTATACAGCAGACTCGAGTTTGAGCGAGAGCGGCGAGGCACGCCGGTCGCGAGTTGGTCGCACGAGCGAAGAGAGCGGCTGATTTATGTGCGCCGCGAGTAATTTCGCTGCGGCGGGTGCATTAAGTGGACGCGCACGTTGTTTGTCGTCTCCCGTACCTTCTGGTCCACCACGTCGCGGTCGGGTGCGTCGCCTTCCCCGCGCGGTCGAATTTTATTCCGCCACGTACACGTTTCCTACTGCGGAGATCGAATTTATTTGAATTTAAACGTTGGAATTGCTAAAAAAAAAAAAAAAAAAATTATTTCCCAATTTTATTTTTGTTTTTACACACAAGTTCGGAAAGTGACGCGGCGAAAAGTTGCAGTCAATAAAAATTTTGTATCTCAAAACCTGCGGGAAAACAAAATTTCTTCAATAATTGAAGAAATCTCTTCGTGCGGTGTCTTAAGAAAATTGTTCCATTTGCCAAATCGTGACGCGACGCGTATTTTTCATCGCCGTCACACTCGTGTAATGTCGGACCATAAATTACGACTCGGCCGTCCCAACACGCCGTACAGCAGGAGAAGGGACGCGCAAGAGAAGAAGAGACGACGCAAACGGAGGAGAGGACACAGGTGCTTGCGAGAGCGCGGGCTGCCGAATGCGCCGCGGCCACCGCCGACAAATTTCGGCCGATCGCCGGCTATCGCTCGATCCGGTCGCGAGATTGCATTATCCCGATGCTTATAATGCGTCACGACCCCTTCACCCCCGGCCGGGCAATGCGGTGGTAGCCGGGGGGGGAGCTCAATATATTCGGCTGCGTATGCGCGTTAGACCGTCCCTCAAATAAAGCAATCTCCAAGATCAGACAACGACGCGGCGGCGTTTGTGTCCCTTTATCCCGCCCTCCTCCCTTCCATTCCGTCTTTGTGCGACTCTTTCCATCGCAAAAGTAGCCAGTGGCCGAACTTTGGAGCAGCCGGACTTCTCCTCTTTGTCAGAGAAACGGAACCTACTGACAAAGCGAAGGTGGTAGTCGACTCCGCAGAATTAATTGCCTTGGGAAATATTTACATTCCCTCATCCAAAAAGGGCTCTATCGCCTGTCTGCACATCTCTCTATCTCTTTCTCTCTCTCTCTCTACTAAAGATTTCAGGTATTTAACGATTCTCGCGGTTAGATCCAGCCGTGAATCGCGCGGATCTCCGATCTCCGGCGCTTTGCGACTACGCGTCTCTCGCCATTTTTTATTAAAATAAAATACTAGAAATTAAAAATACAAAAACCACAACTTGTGTTTTAACACATTGCATTCTCGATACTTAAATCTTAAAAAAAAAAAAAAAAAAAACTGTCTTCATTATCGGTAACACGATAAACTGGTGAGATAGAAACACGGGATTCGTCGGGAGGGCAATCGGGACACAAGTTGTTCAAGTTAGCACTTGGGATCTATTTTTCTCGCCGTTCTCTCCGATTGAAAAGAACGCGCGCGAGTTCGCGCGCGGAAGTTTGTTCTGTAACAACCCCGAACGGGGTCGTTAAACGCGAAAGAACGGAAGCACTGTTTGTGGTCTATTGTCACACTCGAACGCAGGGTGGTTTACGATCCTTCAACTGTATTTACTTGGACGCGCTCTTTCCCCCGCCTTGAAAGAATTTCATATTTGCTTAACTTTTCGTCGTCAAGATCCGAGGATCACTTTTATATCCTTCGTAAGGAAACTGAACCAGTCTTTTAACAGGCTTTTAATAAGAATGTTATAGTTTTTTTTTCTCTCTCTCTCTCTCTCTTCCTCTTTTTCTCGAACTTCCGCGTATTATTCTTAAAATAGCGGAACGTACGCAGCTTCGCTCACGTGATGAAAAAGGAATGTTAAAATAACGGCCGCAAGATCGACAGTAATATCTCTCTCTCTTAAATAAATCTCGGAGATTCTTCCGGAGCGAATTAAGTGTTCTGGAAAATTTCAACCGCGCGCGTTTCTCGAAGTCCGAAATAACGGGTCGCGACGCGATTTATGCCGCGCGTAATTTGTCCGCGGGTATATACATATATATATAGTGTGCGATATATATGCGAATAAAATAAAGGCTCCCGCGCGCGTGTTTATGCAGCCTCAATAAATAAGTATCTTCGCTTCTCGCATTCTCCGTTTAACGTTTCAGGTTCCGCAACGCAGGAGGTTTGTCGGTTACGCGCGTTCATATCGCCTCGTGATTTACACGCGAGAAACGAGCGGTTTGCAAAAACATTTTCTTGCAAAATAGCGGCGTTGGATGCGATTTTTGCGATTGTTAGAGCGCGAACTGCGCGTGTTGATTACCGATTACAATGCTATTCGATATCAATATACGCTGTATGTGTGCGATATAAAATTAAAGTGCACTCTTACAACACACTTGTAAGTCAATTTTTTTTATGTGTAAACGCATTCACGTTGGAATATGATTGCTGTAAGTGAAAATTTTAATCGGTCCGAAAATACGAGGACGACGACGGGGGCGAGAAGGAAGATCCAAGGAGAAGGAAGAAGGAGCCGAAGGAAGAAGTCTGCAGGTTCTCAAATTGCGATGAAACCGGGCACCGACGCGTCGCGCGGGTTTCGTATAACGAAGCGGACCACCGATGGCGGTGCCGCTTATCTCTCTCGCTTTTTCGATAGATATCCATCCATCCATCCATCCATCGATTCCGACGCGAACATTCTTGTCTCGAAGAGTCGTTGTGTTTTTCACGTGCCGTGAAAATCGACTCCGATGTATCAAAATAAAAACGTATGTAAAATATATCGCAAACGAAAACCGGAAACAAATACGGAAAGAAAAAGTAGCGAGTGAGGAAGCGAAAGTTCGTTGGATATATTCGGACGATGAAATACGATATTTATAATAAAACAAAAAAAAGACTTTGTATTGTAAAATAATTTTTATTCTGTAAAAATACATCGCGTTTCAGTCTCGCAGAAAGTTACGTTGCTAAAAAAAGATACATAGTATTACAAATAAATTATATAGTATGCACAGATTTTCTTTCGGACGATATGATACAGAGAGTATTAAAACGAACTATCTTAGCTTATAAAGGACGACCTATGATACAAAATTTACAAGCTCTATTTACACGTGTTACTATTCCGTACGAGATCGCATATCGGCAGGTATCACACATTTTGCAGCATCCATATGTAGTTTTTTTTCTCGTAAATACAACGTCATGGAAAACACATTTCGTTCGTTACTGATAAGATAATTATTGAAAAAGAACGTTTCAATCTCTTGTCAACTACAATTGCAATATTTTCTTACTAGCCACACGAAAACGTATATTTTTTTTTTTTTTTTAATCAAAAGCATAAACATTTTTCAACAATCTGAATTATAAATTCAATTTATCTTGTATTTGTGCGTGTCACGCAATATTAACTCCTGCAATACCGTAACGATACATTTTACCGCTTTCTTTCCTCCCGGGGTTGCGCGCGGTAATGACAACATAACAAGAAAGAAAAAAACCTCGCGAATCTCGTAAACGATCATTCGCTTTCATCACGACGAACAACTCGCTACGCGCGTCCCCTTCTCACTGCAACAGGTCGTAAAGCGCAGTAATGTAGGATTGAGCCATCTGTAGCGTCTCGTATTTGGATAACTGTCTATCGTTTCCCAGAGACGGCAGATAAGCGCGCAGTCTGTCGAAGGCCTTGTTCAAATTCTGCATTCGTCTCCTCTCGCGCGCGTTGGCGGCCAGTCGGCGTTTCCTCACGATGGTCGAGTTGACGTACTTGCCTCTTCTGCGGTCGCGGCTGCCGGATGTGAGACGCGCGCCTTCCGGATGATCGGCACCGCCGTCGCTCATCTCCGCGTCCTCATCGCTGTCGCCGTCCATCGTTCTGTCGGAAAGACCGCTGCTGGAGTTGCTGATGACGCTGCCGTGGCAGGACTGCGTCTTGTCGGCGTCCAGATTGATCGTCTCCTCGGTGTCGTCGCGTTCGCCGTCCAGATTGATGATCTCCTCGGTCACAAGGTGATCCATCGCGTGGTCGACGCGCATACGCTTGTTCCCGATGTTGCTCAGCGTGATCGTCGACGAGCTCTTCTTCGTCGCGTTTCTGTCTTTGCCGGCCGAGTTCAGAAGCCGATACGTCGGCGACGCGTGATTGATCGTTTCCGGCTCCGACGAGATCGACAACGTGGTGGCCGGGCTGACGGATCGCAAACTCGCCGTAGGACTTGGAGTGTGCCAACCGTCGCTGCAATTGCTGCTGTCGTAGATGAGACTTTGCGGAACGGCGAGGGTGCTGACGGGCGGCAGGCCGACGGTCTTGCTCGTCTTCGCGTAATTCGGCAGGTCCAGGTACGCGCAGGCTGCGAACGACTCGTCCTCACGTGGCGGGAACATGTATCCGTAACGAAACATCTCCTGCAGTTCCATGAGATCTTCAAGATCTTCGTGAAACGCACTCGCGCAATAAAGCGCAACGAATGCGCGCGTAAGGAGAGAGAGAGTGTGTATCAGAGTTCCTTCTCCTCTCTTCTCACTTCAAATCACACTTCAACAACCGCGATTACGCGCAAGCGAAATTTCCTTCCTCTTTGTTTATATTCTCAAAGATCCTCCGAAGTTGAATCAAACGAGATATATACTGAAACGACGATAGAACTCGCGCGGTCGATGGGTTCGAAATCGAGCCGGGTCGGGGTGGTTCTGAAGTCGGGTGGAACGGCGTCGGGATATTTATGCGTTCGCGGAGCGAGGCACCCTCGCGCAGCACGTGCCGTGCCGCCAATCGGCGTCGGACACGGTGCCCCACTCCGCGACCGGTACCGGAGCCCCCGGAACAACCAGCCAGAGTACGCGCGCAGAGACCGCAACAGGTGGCCCGGCGCCTCCGTCGTACACTTACGATCTTCACATATGAAACCGCGTAGCTATTAAAGTCATAGCGCATGAAAAGAGAAACACGTGAATTGCAGCTCAAACAGCAAAACCGAGAGCGCTTTTAGAAGTAATAAGATTCCACTTGCGATTTGTACTTTGTTTTAATTTTAAACACTCCGCGTTCCGCAACATCTTGATCTTTATTTGAATTAATGATGATTGTAACGACGATGGGTATCGGACCGCTTGATGTTCGCACGCTGCCTGCTGTCACGTTTTTTTTTTTTTTTTTTTACGGTCGACGTGTTCTCGCGCTAACTCGAGCGCGACACCGGAAAATCGTCTTTAACTTGTGCACACAATGTGCACCTCGTGACGAGACACGCGTTGCGTCTTTCCCGCCCGCAGGTGCGAATTTATCGCGTTAATAATTGAATCGCTTGAGTTGCGCGCGCGCGCACAAGTAGGTACACACCCACACATACTGAAAGAGAGTTTTTCGAGAGTCCTCGAAATACTTTTCACACGCGTGACAGTACGTTGAAAAAAAATTAACATAATTGAATCCTCCAGAGATTGATATCGTATAAACTCGATTATACACGCCGAAAACCTATTCCGTAGCGGGCGATTTGTCTTTTACACGGATACATCTGGTCCTTTAAACATCTTCCCACACGCAACCCGAAGAATGACCGGTCGGACGCGTTCTTCTCCCCCGAAGTTTCTCAGGGCTTTCCGGAATGCATCTCGATGCGTTCTCGAAAGCGCCACAGAGAAAGAGAGAGAGAGGAGAGAGAGATCGGCTTGGGTTGCCCGGCCGGCCGAGATAGAAATGGATCGTATCTGCACAAAAGGGTGCAAATACTTTAAGGACGCAAGGTCCAGTTACATCTTTACTCGCTCAATTAGCGAAAACAGGTAGGATAAAGTTCTGCGGCGACCGCGACAACGGTGGTCTCCGTGAGGGCAACCCGATCTCTGTCATTCTCCCGTTCCGTGGTGCGCGCAGCCGTCTTGGATTTCGGAGAGATCGCCTCACAGCCGCCCGAAAATTCTTCTTAAGTAGCGGAACGAGATAATCCTCTACTTAAAAGCCTTCTGTATCTTTCGTGTACAACCGTACGAAAAACGCGCGCGATCCGCGGCTCGACGCGCGCGATTTCGTACCCTCGCGTGTCCCGAACTATCGCAAAGATCAGAAAGAAAAACGAAACTAGAAGATGGAAAGAAAACCACACACATATACACACACGAGCGAAGGATGAAATTAGCGCTACGGCAAAATACCGATGCGATTGGCGTACTTTTACGGATGAATTCCATCTTAAAGGGATTTTTTTGTGTCTCGTAAAGTAGCTCGTTATATACAGGGGAAGAAGAGGCATCGATGATTCCCAGGTGCTACGAGATTTTTCTTGCGTCGCCGTTTCTCTCTCTCTCCGCTCCAATTTCCAATAATCCCGCGCGATATTCTCGCTTTTTTCCGTTCATCAGGCGCAATTTAAAAATTGATCGCTTTCATCTATTATCATCTCGTTCCACGGATGGAATTGTGGCGGAACCAATAATTAGGACGGCCAGGCGGGTAAGTCTGGCCTACCTGCTTCTCTGCCCTTGCCCTATCCCGTCTATATATGTGTGTACACCTCCACCTTTTTACCTTTCTATCTACCTGCCCGCAACGTTGAGCTGCGCCGCGCAGCTCAACCCACTCTCATCCCGCCGCGTCTGGGCCTCTCGATCCGCCAGAAACTCATCGCGCAATCGGAACGGAGATAACGCGCGCGCTTGACAAAAGAAGCAGATCTTGAAAAAAAACCTTCAACATTTTTCAAATTCGACGATATTGAATTAATCAAATTCGCGCCTACGTTTATACCAAAAACTGCAGCTTAAAAAATAGTGTACGCACATTTATAATACTTTATATCAATAAATAAAAAGGTATCAATAAAATTGTGTAACTACAAAATGCAGAAGTGTAAGAACGCGCTACGTTGTCGCAATTCGAAAAAATATAAAACAACCGATGTGATCAAAGATATATAAAACCGTAAACTCATCGATCGACGAGCGATAAATCAAAACGCGAAGCTTGGAATGAAGACCGCGGCGATTATATTGCGAGAGAAGAAGAACGAGACAAACGCGGAGGGAAAAGGAGAAGGAACGAAGGCCAGAGAAATCGCGCAAGGCGGTCTGGCGCGGGGGTTGGGAGTCGGGATACGCCCTGGGCGTGAGTCGAGTAATTAAATACAAAGTGAACTCATTTGTGGAGCTCGGTGGCAAATAACATGTTAGTCGGCAACTAGCGGTAATTTATGAGAGCGCCGTATGAGCGGCGATCTCTTCGCGGTCGGCCCTCCCCCGACGATTTCCCAGCCCCGTGCGTGCGTGTGTGTCTGTATCCCCGCGGCCTATAAAACGGTCAGTCCGATGAATATGCATTTACAGATAGAGACGTTTGAGTTCACATTTGCGGACCAGACGGAATTTCTCAACGGAGGTATAGGACGCCGAAATATTTTCGAGAGAGGGAACGTCGATTTATTCCACCCTCCTCACCTTTCGGGCTCGCCGATTGACCTTCCCTCACAACCGCGTTCGTTTCATCAATAATTCATCGAATCCGACGCGCTGATAGATATGTTCTCTATTAGATCCTAAAGCGAGCAATTAACCCAAAGTCGTTATTGTTGCTCCTTCCGAGAAAAAACGGATGGCCGTCCTTGATAACTTGCAACTCACTCACTCGACCCGCATTTTTCGATTTTCAGGTACTTGTCGAACTTCCCGCGTGTACGCACGTGTGTAACGACGGGAAAGAATGTTGGAGAACCGAATGTGTATCGTCGAGAAAAATTGTTTTAATTGCCGGATTAAAACTGGGCGCGCGTGATCTTCCGCTCGATGATTGGCAGGACGTGTCGTCCCCGTCACGGCTGCTTCTCGGTCTGTTCTCGTGTCTACAGCCAGACACGGGACGGGAGAGGCTTCTTGTTAAGGGAGTGCGTGCCGCGCTGATTCTGGGAACATCGCGGCATTATATATGGTTCCGCTTTTCAGATTCCTCATTTTGTCGTTACGGAAAGAACGTCGTTGTGTTGCTCGCCCGGTGGTGATTCTAAGCATGACGTGCGCTCCTATTCTATGCCCGAGCGCGTGAAACGTTCCTCAAAAACGAGGTCCCTCTTCGCCGGTAACGAAGGTCCGAAAACGAGACGAGACAGTAGGAAACATTCGGCGGCTGCAGATTTCTTCGTCTCGGAATCACACTAATTCGGCCTACTTCCAAACAGCCGTAATACACATCTGTGTTTCGCATTACTTACATATATAGTTTTTTTTATTCGATAATTTTTTCTTACCGTCAATTTTCATAATTTTAAGAAAAATAATTGCTTTTCTCTTTCGACGCAAACATTTTCTCGTTATTTCGCACAATATGAAAATTCGAAATCTTTCACATCGCGATCGAATTTTCGCGTTAAAAAAATGAAAAATTTTTTAAATTCTCTTCCTGTTTGACAAAGACATAGTTCATAAAAAACAATATTTCGATGATTGTGAAATTCACTAAAAAAATCCTTTTATATTTCTTCTGTTTTTTTTTTTTACGCGGTCAGCAAAGAAATAGAAAAGATTTTTTACGATTGCAATAAGTAGACACGCGTTCGTCGAAACCGTAAAGCCGACTCTTTGAGCGATCTGAGAATCATCGACGGTTAGGAGCTTATAGCTTTACGCTTTCGGTGGTCGGTCGCGACAACACAAAGTGTAACAACGCAACCACGTGGGGGTGGTGGGTTTCGTTTCTTGTTTGCGACTTTGTGTTTTTCCCTGAAATCCGGTGGTCAATTAACGATCACGTCAAAGGAAACGGCGTAGCGGGGCGTGCGCAAATAACTAGGCGGCGCGTCTCGGCCGTGGCGCGATCATCGAAACCACCGGGAAATAGTTGCCGGGGTAAAATGAAGTTATTTGTCGATAATCGTCCGTCGGTGGCCGGAAGAAATCCGCTGTCCTTCTCTCGTGGGCGCTGCTCTCCGTGGACTGTTCAATTCGGGAAGAGAGGTCCACAGTTTCCGGCAATATATACGCACGAGCAGTCCCCGCCGCAATATATCCACGCGAATGGATCCTTCGACACAGTTTTCAGAGCGCGTTTTTGTAATGCCTGTGATTTTGAGAATTTGTCAGCTCGACGGAACCCGATCGGGATCGTAAAATTTATTGCGTCTCCACTTATTTCAAAAAAAATTACAGAAAAACTGTTTTTATGCTACATCGAAGGGATATAGAAAAGACTTCTCAACATATTAAAACATTCGTTTACTTACACGTAATCACGTTTTTATTTTTAAATTTGTTTATTTCGTGTTATCCCAAGACTTCGGTTTTTTTTACACATCCAATTAGCGCAGACTTATAATTAGAACAGATACGTATTTATATAAAGTAAGCACAATCCGTTCATTAGTAAACGATTACGAAATTCATGAGATGGATAATCTGTATGTTTGATGTACAATCACGTATATATTTTGAAC